AAATGGTACTTTCCACGCTCTGTTATTACACCTTGGTAACTTTTATTGCTCTCGTTTGATTGATCGCTCGAGCTGCCTAAGGAATAGGATTCGTTTTATGGTAGGTCGAAAAGAGCCGAGGAGAAGGAAAGAGAAGGATATCGGGAAGTATTTAACACTATTACCGATCCGTAACGTGTACTTAAATTGGGTAGATCAGTAGATGGGAATAATTAAAATCGTGTGATGAAAATCGCGTTTAACGTTAGGATACTAAAAGAATTTGCGCGGTGGAAATAATTATTTACGTATAATTGTTTGTTTCTGCCAAAATAAAATTTTTTTGAATTTTATTTCTTGGTATATGACAAAAAATTTTATTTATTTGGATTACTCATCTATAATACGTGTAGATAATAATATTAAAAATTGTACCACGAAAACTGCATCGTACAATTTTTTATTTTATTATATCTCTATATAATCATATTTTCATCATATAAATTTTTATTTTATTATAACGACACAAAATTATTTCAAACGTGGGTTTTATTTTTTTGTATATTGAAAATAATTGTATTTATTGGAGTACATATGATTATACCTCTCTCTAAATAAAAATCAACATTGATTTTGTCAAAAGAAAGTATAGGTTTCAAACAATTGTAAAAATGAAAAATCCGAATGCAATTTGTAGTTCGTGCTTTAAAAATAATTAATAGTTGTATAGTTATATCGTCAAATATTAGGTTGTCCACATGCTGACATCGGTATTTGTAACATACGATGGTAATTGTTTCGTTCGAAAGATAGAAATATATTACTGGCATCTAGTAAAAAAATAATGAATTACTCATCGATGCTGCAACGGTAAAATTGAGTTAGGTTGAAATTCGAGATTAAAATAATTCGATTATTTCGAAGTTCCTCATAAATCACCTTGTATAATACGTAACAGAATTCCAAAGTTCGAACAACGAGAACGATATTGTGCAAACAAAACGTTCCACGAAGCTTATCTACAATTACTCATGCCGCGAATGCGCAATTAGCGCGCGATTAACTGATTATGTGTATTTTCGCGCGTGCAAACTAATCGAAGTAAAAAGTGTTTGTTCTTAAGAATGGATCGTTCTAAACACTCTATATTCCACAGGTAAACCGGAATGACAAACAAACTACGGTAGTTTCCCTGAAAAATATGTCCGGGTATCTGCATAAATGGGAATTACTCGTAAGTTCTTCAAGTATCGAGAAACCGGTGAGTGCCATATTTACGAACCGTTTAAAGTAATGGAAACTTTCAAAAACCACCTGTTCCCGACTTTCTTTCGTGCCGGACAAAAGATGTCGCCGGCAGAAAATTCCTCGTTGCTCATCGCCTTCGCGATGCTACCTTTTTGGGGCCAATTTTTGTCATCCCCGTATCTCGGGAAATCACCGAAACGTAATTTACCGTGTGCTCGAGAGAGGAAAAAGGAGAACGTGAACGACACTCGTCAGACTGGTCAGAACAAGAGAGAGTAAATAAAAGCAAGCCCTGCATACCGAAGTTCGTCGTACGCATACGCATACGAACATCTTCGTTTATAAACACGGCCACGCGCGCGCCTACAGGCTGTTGCAAAAGTCGATGGCTGGCTTCCAGCTGGAATTTTTGTCCACCGATAAACCGGTTTGTTTTCCTTCCAATCGCGCTTTTAACCGCTTCGAGCATTTAAAAAACCGATAAAATAATATCTCGTTTCCATTTTTAGAGAATACCTGAAATGTCCGCGTATCTTAATACCTTTTTCCGGAATGGCACGCGATAATATTCACCTCTTGTCAGCTGTCATTACGATTTTAGCCGAACGAGTAATTACCCACATACGTAATTCTGATATTTATATATATTTTCTACATTTTCCTATAGTCTCTTTCAAAACACATACTGCAGAGTTTAAAAGATCGCGACCATACTTTCATAATTGGAAATTTAACGGAAATGAATTTGTTTCGACTAGGGAAAAATGATCAAAACTTGTGGTTTCAATCTCCCAAAAATTTTGCTCGCTGGTTCGTATTTATCGACGAAAATCTGTGGCTAATTGCAGATTATTAATGTCTTCATAGTGGCGCCAGTGTAGCGCGATGCTTAAATACGATACTGTTAATTAACTACCGTGGTAGTTCATCTTGCCTAACGAAAGATTATAAATGTCATGGAAAGTTAATTATCTAACGGATTTAATAGACGAGGCATTATATCCCTTGCGATGCATTCAAGCAATTTCAAACTGGTATCTCCTGTAACTCGCGCAGGAGTAAAAGGGCGATAAAAATTATTCCTCGTAAAAGTAAACTGCGACGTGACTGTAAAATGCAGAAGACCTCCGATAAATCTAGCCAGGATGAGAAATAACGAATTACATTATCCTTTCCTGAAAATTTCCTACGCGAGACTTCCTCGCGATAGTAGATCAAAACGCGACAAATCTTCCTGGTTTCCTTTCACGAATCCTGAATACCGGCAACCGGTCCAGCATTTCTGCTCTCTCGTGTGGTACACTCCTGCACTCTCGAGTCAAATTTTTTCAAACACCAAAACGGTGTTCGTGTTTGCTCGCGTGTAGTGCATCGAAAGGTATCGGTGCACACGCGTAACTCGTAATAACGACCAAAGATTGTTCGCGGAGGCCTTTGGCCGGACTACTTTGGCCAGGAACTCGAAACATCGTGCTCGAGCCACGTTTTATATCGGCTTGGAACGAAGAAATTCCGACTGGATCGTTAAGAAACCAGCCGTGCCTTCTCCTCTTTTGCTCCTCTCTACGTCCGTGTCCGGCCGTATCAGTGTCAGGAGAGATCTAAAATGACGATTCGCGGCGATCGCTCGAGGATCGCGACTCGCGAAAGTCGTACGGCTAATCGGTGTTTACATGGGAAGCGATTCGCGAAAAAAACGAATCAGACGCGATTGCCGTGTAGCTATTACACGCTCTCGTGCAGGTGAACGCGTGTGTCGTGAACACAGGTAGACTTTATAGCTGGGCAGACGTGTGGTGATTGTACAGGGCGACGCAGAAGAGGTGGCTCGGAGGTGTACACACACCTGACCTATTTGGACGTTAATCCATTTGACTCGAGATATCATCGGAATTTTATTGCTATTGTCATATCTATACCCATAGACACGATTATAGTTTCTTACTTATTTAGCCTGTATTATATTTAACAAAAATATTATTTCATTGTAACAGCTATTATCTTATCGGTATACATCGTATCGTTTCTTCTAAGAAATTGTGAATATGACGAGTGTAATGTCCTTTCGTTTCAAGATTATTTTTTCTTTTTCTCAGCATTAGAATCGTCTTATCGTGTTTGTTGTTTGGACATCGCGTTTGTTTCAATTCTTGAGGCACTTGAAGCTTCGAATTCGATTGTATGTCTAACAGCTGTCAACGTTTCTGTACGCGTGAAGAACTATAATTAGCTCCACGCGATATTTCGTGTTAAACGAACACAATGGCAATCTAATCTGAACGCAATCCGAGTGATAGCCCGACAGTATCTCAGTTTCACGATCGGTATGTATCATTCGTTTGTATACAGTATACAGCTTCGAAATTGTCTTGAATCGGAGGAAACCGTGAGGGAACGCTATAGCTTGGGAACGGAGCGAGATATCAAGGATGTTACGAAATTATCTCGCTTTTTACCAGTTTTTCTATTAGATCCTAGGGACCGTTTGTCAATAAAAACGAGAAATATAACGAGCGTCGGAGACAAGAAAGAACCTAATGAATATTTAAGTCACGTGTAGCGTGTTGTTGCTCGTAATGTCCAAGCATCCATTAACGAAATCAGTCGCATAATTAACGTCGCATGATTTATCTCGCTGAACAACATGAAGTACACGTGTGACGAGACAGGTGTAAAAACTTAGATTCTCTTAGAATTTCCTTTATCAGCTTTTTATTTCGTGTCACGTTGACAATCATTGCCGTCTACTCTATGTCGCAAGACAATATCAAAGCGACCTTCGTGCTTATCTAAGATCCTCCATAAATTCTCTAACGTCTCGTATCCTCGCTTTGACATAACTCTAGATATATATTTATTCACGGTCCGAAGTATGTAAATTTAAGAACTGTTTATGTTCGTATGGATCTTATTCGCTAATGGCCATCGCGAGTCCTCGCGATCTCGCTTCCTCTGCTACCATTTTGTCTTCCATCGTGTACCATCGTTTTAATGGTTTCTGATATCGCGAAGATCGATATACGATCGTAGATTGCGTTAAACGAATGTTTCCTGTTACTTGAAAACGCGGCTTAATAACGAGCATTGTTGTCACAGCGAATGGCATTGAGTCTTATTTGGCATTGGGTCTTATTAGGCATTGATCATCGAATTCGTCACGATCGTGATAGAAACTTATCTCGCCACTTGTCGAAAAAGTTGTACCAAAAATATTACGTGACGTGAGCCGTAAAAATAGCGATGCAACGGCGATAAATCGAAAGGGAACAGGTGGATCGGAATCCATCGCGTATTAATCGCGATTTCTAAATTTCACAGCCTCGAGTATACCGTATTATCGGATGGAATATTTGAACGACTTCGGAATACGTAGAAAAAGCTGGAGGAAAACGACGTCAAAGCAGCAAGAAGTAGATGAAGAAGAATCGGCGACGCGATAGTTGAAGGCGCGCCAGAAACAAAACGAAACACGTGCTCGCGCGTCACGCGCCATTAACGCCTATCTGCGATATCTTCGAGTCTCGAAAGTGTATTTTTTTCGGCTACGTGACCAAAAGAGGCTGAAACGTGGCATAGGAAAACGTAAATCGCAGCAGAGGCAGCCTTTCATGAAACCGTGTAAGATCGATTGAAATTAACAATCGGAATCGAGGTGCTCGACCCACTTTTACCATCCTGCGTTCTCCATTTTGGTCCATCGATCGTGCATGCATCGATCTCGTACTTTTCGCGTCCGATTAAACGATGAAACGGGTACTTCGGTTCATACTCACCCCCTGAGGACTCCGCTGTAGATGAGAAAACAGATCCCAGAGGCGACACCAGCCACCACTAAACTCATGCTAGGCGACATCAACATTTTTCCACTCGCTGAACAACCCTCTTCAACAGGATATCAATCGACCGCACCGTGTCTCTGTGCACGACGATAGGTTTGACGTTTAATTACAGCTGATGGATCCACTCGGCTGTTCCTTGCACGCTGATCGCTCTCGAGTCCATTTCTCTTCCCTCCTTCCAGGGTTGACGTGGAAAAAATCTCTCCAGACCGGGTTCCTCGGATGCGGGTCTCTCGTATACGTCTGTTGTGGAAAAATTCCAGTTTCACCTTCGTTTCTCAACGTAGATATTCTCCAAGAACTTCAAACGCTGCTTCTATCCACTGATGACTGAGTCTGGCTGCCTGATTCAACTTCACGATACGCAGCGTTCTGGTTATCTGATACAAGTCGATAACGACTTCTCGATCGAATTCTGACGATATCGAGCCGATTCGATCGGGCAAATGCATCTAACGTTTATTTTTATCGTTGTTGTTCAATCTCGGAGACTGATTTTAACTCGAAAATATTTGGGTTTTTCAATATTCGATTCAGCAATAAGGATTCTTCGGATTTCTTCGCTATCATTTGTGAGAATGACCAATGAGTTTGCGAGAACGACCACGGATACAAAGTCTTCTCTCGAAGCATGCAGAAGTTAGGAGAGACAGTCGAGTTTCTCGAAACTAGGTGGGGAGAGTTTTGAATTCCACTGTATTCTTTACTCGATGATTTCGACTGCAGATTACTTAGATCTTCCGTCAGATAAGGTTCGTATTCTCGAAAAAAGAAAACCAACAGAGATTCGTATCTTTGGAGGTCTTTTAATTCGGTGCTCGTTCTGTTTGGTGGTCTTCTAATTCAGTTTCACAGACAGGTGTCTTCGGCGCCGTTCATGAGAATGATCGAAGAGTTTAGGATGACTACGGACCCAGACTCTGTTCTTCTCGAAGAGGTTCGAAGAAACGAGCGAGCTTCTCGAAAGGTGGTGGGGGTAATTTTGAATTGCGTCGTGTGATGTCGCACTTTCACGCACTTTTCACGATCGGAACTTGGACGACGGGCCCGTGGTACCGTTATTAAATCGGTAACTGGTGTATCCAGGAGATGTGAGCGGACCGCACGATAAGATTGAACTGAAGCAGAGCTAAGGTCCCAGCGTGTAGACACGCGTGCACCTTCTCAGCATCGTCGCGCACCACGCTAACGTGTTATTGCATGTCGACACTTTGCTTCGTCTAGGATGCAGCTGTCGAGTGGAACATCGCGTTTCACATCAGAATTTGCAATTCGTTCCATGTATGTCCTTGTACTCTTGACCGAACTTTAGTGTCTTCGCTCTAATCGAGTGCGTCCACTGCACGGTAGTCATTTTCCAGTTTTTACGACGCTTATAAATAGCAAACGAGTATCCTCGAGTCCTCGAAATCGTCGGAAATAACCAGCAATATTGTACAATTGAAATTTTCTCTCGGAATCCAAGATTCAAGTTGAATCTAGGAGGTTATTTTTTTTTTTTTTTTTTGAGCAATTCTTAATGGAGAAGGATGTGAAAATAATTGGATAAGTTCCCGAAGGTATTCAATGGCTGCTACTTTTTCTTTCACGGATTCGAGACGAGTCAATTAGTGTAGGATCGTAACGGCGCTTAAAATAGCGGGGAACGTTTCCTGAGAAAACGACGCAGCCGAGGAAAAAACTATGCGGTCATTATGTAACTTTTATCTAAGTCGTTGCGTCACCAGTACCTCGGTCCATGTTGTCTGCAGACAAAGTGAAAATCTGCGTGCGAGCTCTAGCGTGGCGTTGTAGAGAACGATATACGACCCGGCTTATTCGTCATTTTTTATTTTCCACTCATGTAAATACGATTCTATTCGCGTTAATTCAGTTATCGCGTAAAAAGTCGAAATTATTCAATATCGATTATATAACATTAATTTCAACTATCAACATTCTATTCTCGAATATCGATAAGCCGGTAATCGATCGTTCAAATTTTTTCTTTAAAAGTGGAGGTCTCGATGGTAAACGTTCGTATATATATATCTCTCTCTCCTGAATGCCTTATCACACGAGTGACTTTTTGTGTCACTGATAAAACAGTCGTTCTGTTTATTGACGTTGCGTGCACCTACGAGCAGTAGATACGACACGCAACGCGTACACTGGGTTGCCTACACGCTAGGGGCGTCTGACTAACACCGTCGGTAATCACTGACCAGACCGTGCGTTACAGGACATTTCTACTTCGATCCGGAGGACCAAAAATAACCACGAACGCTATGTTTCTTACTCTTCGCTCAATTTATTTTCAATTATCTAATTGAACATATGCATCTCGACCCTTTTATTACAAAAATTACGAAAATATCTTGCGATTTCGTATTGTTACTTTCCTGATATAATGCGGTCTCTAGACACCCAACAAAATTTTTGATTTCTGAAGAAATAATTTTTTATTTCTGATAGAGAAAGGGTTGAACTCGACCAAAGTAACCTCCGGATTCTCTTGTAATCTCGCTTGACCGGGACACGAATTACCAGAGACCTTCTTTGACATTTCCGAAGCCATCCAGAGTTGACTAACACCGAGTACATTCTACCGTTACGTAATTTTATTTTTCTCGCGATAGTGGCTCGTTCCACCGGTGAAATGATTTATCCCCCGCAATAATTCATCCCGACTACGCGTTCCGAGGCGAAGAATCCATCAAAGCACGAAGGCAGGCATTATCATGCGCGACATCGCGTAGGCTGGTGGCCACTCGGCAAAGGTTAGGAGATTCAGAGGTAACCACGACGAAGGACGAACCTTTTTACACGTGTACACATTATCATATCATGCACGTTGCAGACCAATCGCAGACGTAAACACTCGAGCTCCAACGTACTAGATCACTCGCGACGCTACTATGTGTGTAAACTCCTCGGACATCATTTCAGCACGAATTCCTCGCTTCTTAACGGAGAATAGAGGTCATCGATATCAGGATTCCGCTTCACCTTCGCGACAGATTAATCCTTATCAGTCCTCGAAATTGAAAATCGAAACATCGTCCACAAGGTGATCGAATTAATTTATTCCTCGGAGGCCTCAATTAATTCATTTCTGAAAGCTACCCTCGATGGTACCGCAGCTGTGATAATTCCATGTAACATGACAGCTGCACGAAGGAGAAGCGGAGTCATAGTTCGATAAAAGTTCGATTCCGATGCGTCGAAATTCGTCACAGTTCACGACGCTAATCAAATCTTGAGCTCGTATCAGTCTGCGTGCTCGTTTCAGACACTGTAAACACGTTTCCGCTAGGAAAATTAATATTCCAGTTCGGCTCTGCTTCGCCAAACAGGCGCGGCTTCGAACACAATCGTCATGAATCTCCGCTTTTAATCAATCGCCGCCCGTCGTACGATCAGACCGCACGTGTCGTCTTTTCAGCTCGCGGACTCTCATAGTTCTTCGTGGATAAAAGCCACATAACGTCCCGTGTAGTCGATTCACACAGTCACCGTTAAAATTCCATCTGCTTATATTCTGGTATACTAATTTTACCCGCGCCCGAGTCTTGGGTTTGAATAATTCGAATTTTCACGTCACTGTCACCGCGATATAAATTCGCCGGGAGCTTACGAGTTGGAATAAAGTAAGATCGAAGAATAGGAGAGTCGAGGTGGTTCGTCGACCGTGTGGGATCGACGAGACATGATCGAAAAGCAAGATCTTCCAGAGGAATCGGACGGCCTTCTGTCCCCTAATCAGCATTCTAGTCGGCTGCTATCACAGGTATGAATTCTTTTCGTTCCTATTACGTCTTCGATCGATTAGATACGCTTTGCGACGAGATAGTCGCGATCGAATAACTTTCCAACTGTTTCTGACTTCTACCAGCGAGTATTTGACAAACCTGAACGTGCATTGTGCTCTCTGCGTGTTATGGAATCCTTAGCAGGAGGCTTTTCCACGAGCAACGAGTATTCCATCGAGTCGGTGTCAATTAAGAGCGAATAGGACTTTTCCTTTTGAGAAAAGTGAAAATACGTATAATATCTCGAAGATTTAATAATTTAGAATTTAAAATGTAGTCCATCGCGATTCTAGAATTATTCCAGAGGAAGGTTAAGAGTTGGAGAGATAAGGGGACCCAATGGATGGCACTCTGAACGCTGTCAAATATCTAGGAATCAGAGGTTGCTCTCGTTCCTTCAAGCTGTATAGATACATAACATAGTTCTCGAATGTACATGGAAAAACGAGCAGATAGCAGATAGAGATTGAACAGCTTTCTTACTGTTTGTGACTTTTATCGACGAGCATTCGGCAAACGCGGTCGCGCGATCTTTCCTCTTTGCGTCATGGAATCCTTAGGAAGAATCTCTTCCATCTCTGTTCGAGTGGCTCGATATAAAATATTAGCAAATAGAATTCCTTGGGGAAGAGTGAAAAGCAATCTCGAAAGTATGAAAACGATACAATAAAATCTAGACTCTCCAGTTATGGCAGAAAATAGCTGGGAGGCCTAGATAGATAAGAGGTGTCTCGCTGCACATCGTCAAACAACTACGGACTAGACTATTCTCTTGTTGTTTTAACCGATGCAACGGTGAAATACAATTCCAGAATCTACACAAAAGCACATCGAGATAATCGTAGTCGAGCAATTTTCCTACTATTTTTTACCTCTGTTCGACAAACGCAGCGACATGATCTATCCCGCGCTCATCACAGAATCCTTAGGAATCCAGTTATCCACTGATCGATTAATTCAGTACCTATTAATTCGGTATCACTAACGATCAGAATTTTCCCGTTCGAGAAAAGTGGAAAATAAACATCTTCGATTCGTAATATGATAACGATAGAGTGAAACCTCGAGTCTTCAATTATTGTTGGAGGTATCTAGGGGTACTAGATCAATAGGAGGATTCAATGGCGGTCTCTCTGAACGCTAGAAGCCCATGGACCAGATGTTTGTCTCGTTCTTTAAACGGTTCTTTAAACCGGTAATATAATTCCCTAATGCACACAGAAAAGCGTTGCATAAGCGATGAGAAGCGGCTAGGTCGACGTCAGGGGACATCATAATTTATGTCGTGTAATACGGCGCGCGCGCGAGATAATGTAGTTAAATGCTTGATCGCCACTAAAATGTTTTATCAATGACGCGACTTATCTCGAAGCCTCTCCGGTTGTTTGGCTTCGCGTTCAGCAAGGCCGAATCGAACCCGCGATAATTGCTCAAACATACTGTGCCAATGTCGGACCACGACACCAGCACGAGTGCTTCCTCTTCCACGGAGTGGAGCAGGTAAAAATAATTCTGACTCCAGACGAAGAATGAAAACGAGCATCGGGTTTATTTCCTCGCGCGCGATTGGTCTTCATCAACGGTCTCAGGCTCTTGTTTACCATGAAGATTAATCAGTTTCGAGATTAAGTTAACCAGCTTTCCAGCACGTTCCTCCATCGTCGTTTTCTTCCTTCAATTTTTCCTCGAAATCCGTTATCTCGTCTACGATACAATTATCAATCCTCAGGGAAGCGGACGGACACTGAGAGACCAAACCAGTTCGGTGTCCATCCGGAGAATCACCTGAGACCGCGATAAGAGGCGATTGGATTCTTGTAAAGTCCCGTAAATACACGAATCGCGGAGATTCGTACGATAATCTCGTCGCGAGATTGTCTGATCAAGAGAGACTCTCGAGGGAACGAAAGATCGTTTATCGGACAGACACTTCAAGTCTTCAGGTCTCTCTACCACGTGGGCTATTAGATAAAGCCTCTTGCCACCGATTCGCAATAACAAACACAGGATATGTGTCTTCGCGAGAGATCGATATCTTTTTCCTCTCTCGATAATTCCCTCCTGCTTGCCGGGAAGTCTAATTAAGGGGCTGCGAACAGCCGAGCGATGATCATTCGGCTAGGCGTAATTTCTACGAATCCGCGGCTGCTGATACGAGATCCTGTGTACTCGCCGCCAGTAAAATCGGATTTGCCGAGACTTAGGTCGCGATATTCTCGAAAGATCCTATTTACTCGGTATCACGCTCCGAGCACGAACCTGGCGATCGGTGGCTCCACCGCGAGTCGCGTGCTGTCATTGCAATTGTGGTCCGTTGCTTTTCGTCAACAGACTGATGTTGATAATGATTCCGGATAAACCGATGCGTCTACGCGCTTCAACATCAATTGCAGAGAGTGGAGATGAGTGGACCATCAACCATGGTCATTTCGAAGCTGTTCCATGAGAGATCTATGGATCTTTGAACGGGACAAGTCAGCTCCTTCGTTCTTGGATTGCGATGTCGAGATCCGTCGATGTTGGAGCTTCTTCGTCACCTGGACATTCATTTTACCCTTTTTTATCCAAGACTCGTCTTGAACGACGCACGAAAATACTATCATTAGAGGAACGTTGACATTTTCTTTGCTGATTTGTATTGGGTTTACATTGGGATAGGAATTACCAGGATTTTTCATTTATTTCTCTGCTTGTCGGGAGCGAAGTAGAGTGATTGCATGTTTGGTCAGACGTATCGATTGGAATGTAGTCTCGCGGATGTTTGACGTCCGAAGAAGGCATAGTTTCTCTTGACGTAGTTTATGTTTTGCTGAACCTGATAAGGTACGAACGAGTCGGCGAGAATGTGCTTGTCGCTGGAAAACGAGTATAATTTTCGCGTTTCGTTTGAATGAATAGAAAATGAATAATACATCGGACGGTGCGTTGAAGAAATATTATCAGGATGAGTGATATGTATTTCTATTTTTAAGCGATGCTTCATAGAGGTCGCGGTGAAATTCAACAATCGATATGTCTTCGCGTTATTCCAGATGATTTATCCATCGAATTCCATTGTTGAAAGTTACATAGCGTTTACGATAATTCTTCAACTGGACGCTCTCTGCGTCATTATCGTTCCATGGTATTATCTTTATGCACAAACGTCTACTTCCTTGCGCTAAAATGTAACGCGAATCGATGACGAACTTATCGCGAGGATTGAAAAATGTGTCGCGTTACATCCGCGTCAATTATAAAATAAAACGACTCGAAAGAATTCTCCTTTATATGGCCAAGCGAGTCGTCCATATACCGCGATTTCGATCCCTTTTTTCACTCGAAATGGACGATATCTAAATCCTCGCGGTACTCGATCGGTTAAGAAGAGACTCGAAGATTATCCGAACAGAGTGACGATTAAGACAAGAAAGCAGAAGTGCAAGAACGATGTGTTGTGGAATGAAAAATCGTTCGGATCGTAAACTGGATGAAAGTTGCACGTGGACAGACCGTGTAACGACGCTTCGTCGTTGAAGAAAAACTTCAGCTACCAATTAGGTTCGTAGAACTCTCGGTATCTCTGTTTAGAATTATCCACGAAGAGAACTCTGAAATCCTTTTCTCTAGAATTACCTATCTGCAACGTGTACCTAAACACGGTATACACAGATAATAGGAATTAAATTGGCACGATAAAAATACATAGATATATCCAATTACGTCCCTATCTCAACAAGAGTAAATATGAATTTTGCTAAGAAGCAGTTATATTTCAATAACTGTAAAAATAAATTGTCCGCGTCCAGACAGACTGACTCATTTTATAGCTCCAGTGCTAATTAGAGCTAAAATCACTGGTTGCAGATTTTTTTATCTTCTCTATTGCTAAAACGGCATGGCTACCTTCGATTAGATAAAGGCTAAAATGCCTTTCCTGGGATACGAACACGGTCGTACCATTTTTATTACTTTCATCTAGCTATACTATATTTAAGCGTAACGTTACACTAGATAATCCCAGTGTTAGATTTACAAAATATAAAAAATAAAAAAAATAGCTGTTTTATTTATCAAAACCATATAACTACTTTCAACAAAGTAGCTGAGCCTTTTCCCAAGATAGTAACGCGATCACGCCAGTTTTATTACTATTATCTACTTATACTACATTTAACTACACATTACACGTCAGTAGATCTAGCTACATATTTAAAAACAACAGCAAAAATAATCGGTTTCCGATTTTTCTTTTTTCTCCCCAATTCCCAAGAACACCCGATTACTTGCGATCAAGTAAGGATACCTTTTTCCACGATAGGAGCATAATCGCACTATCTTAACACATTATTGACCGGTGACGAGTTAACTCGTCTTTTCCTGCCCAAACGTTGTTGACCGATGACGAGTTAACTCGTCATTGCCCTCGCATTATCTATTTCAATTTATGAAACCCAGGATCATATAGAATATTGCGCGTGAAAGTGATTTTGAAGATTGGATTACAAAATAATAGCCGGTGACGTGACATAATTTCTGTGTAAAATTTCCTCGGTGCAAAGTGTTAATTATTGCTACCATCTGCCTATACTACTCGACGCAGATCACAGGTTAAATTTCAAAGATCCATGCGACCCAAACGATGGCAAGATTATACGAATTTGCTAAAACCAAGTAGACGAAGAAAAGACACTTCATCCCCATTCGAAGCCAGTCACCCACTCCCCCGTCAACTACCCCGAGGCAAAATTCGTGCACCAAGACGTACCAGAGCGGGCGGATGAGACCACCTGACCCACGGAAATTCGAGCAAACCGATCTCTTATCCGAGGGAACGAGGAAGATGAGTCCCTTATCTCGACACGGCTGATCGCGGGCTCGAGGCATCGGAAATCTCGCGCAGAAGCAATGGATCGAGCCGCGTTCTGCCGATGCGCGCGAGTCGCTATCAAACGAAGGACGTAGGTGGTGTGCGAGCCGCGGCGAATCCATCGGATTTAGTTAATGTCCAGCGCTCCGTGGACTCGGATGTCGCACCGGCTGCGGTTAGCCATGACAGACGAGCTCGCCTAATCGCACGCCAAACACCACACTTCCTTCCTGCCAACGTTCCACGAGTCTCTTGATCGTACATCGGGTAACCTGTAGCGCAGCGAGCGATCCATAACGGCACAGAGAGTGAGAGAGGGAAAATCTCGTTGGTCGACAAACGCTCGCTTCTCCATACGGAAAAGTGCGCGGAGAAGTATGCTTTGACCGATTTCCGATCCAGTCGGAAACCAGTCCACGATCCCGGGAGTCTTCCCATGATCCATACCTCGAGAGATCGTTCGTCGGAAGACAGCTGTCTTTTCTAACTCAATCCTCACTTTCCGATCTTTCTCAGCTTCGGTTTCCAAGTTTCACGCGCGTATGTCGGTGACCAATCGCGAAACAGCTACGTTCGCACGTGACTGAACGATATCGACGCTGTTTAGCGACCGGCGTGAAACGCTCGATCCACGTGGACTCGACCGTCCTCGCGTCGCCATCGCGAGGCCTCTACGTGGATTTTTCAACCACAACTCCGTTCGATTTCGCGCCGCGAGTACGTTATATTCGCCGTGAGACGAATAACGTGGATCGAATAACGTGTAAGGAGCAACGTGAGACGACTTTATGAGACACGCCGATAGAAGAGGTCACCCCGAGAGACGAGTGTCTCTCGTTCATCGATCGTTGGATCCACGAGATCATCGCATTTGACCGTCCAGGTAAGTCGAATCTCTAATAACTACTAAATCGACTTCGTCATCGAGTCATCTTCTACCTGGGGTAATTCCCGAGGCAAATGGAGGATCTGGCGTTCGGGTTACCGAAAATTACGCGAAACTCGCGCCTAGCGGCACGCTCTCTTCATTCCGGCTAAAGTTAAGCGAAACGGTGTTCGAGCGTAATTACGTTCCGGGTTGATTGTATTCAAAGGTTAACCGAGAGTAACGGAATGTAAATTCGAGATAGTCCACTGAAGGCTATGCGCGAAGTTCACCCTCGATTGTTTATTAAATCTCCGCGTGGGACGAAACGAATACCATTTAACGATCTGTCGGGTGAACGTACGAAAATGAAAGAAATATCTCGATAATGTAGGTCCCAGAATTATTCACCCTCGATTGTTTATTAAATCTTCGCGTGGGACGAAACGAATACCATTTAACGATCTATCGGGTAAACGTACGAAAATGAAAGAAATATCGCGATAATGTAGGTCCCAGAATTATTCCACTCTGAAAAGGCAAACATCGAGTTCCTACTTTGTGTTTATCTTGCGTATCGTGACCGGGTTTCGAGGCATCGGTTACATCGTTTGAATCGGCGGTCCTCCAATTGTCTCGTGCCACACAAAGAGGCCGCTATAAAGGGAGAGAAAAATTCGCGAACAAGGGACCTTCGGGACAAAGCTGCTTTCCCTATTCTTCGTTAAGTTTCGAGGAAAGCTCTGCGTTCGACGACCAATTAGTGACGCCAGCGGCACACATTTCGAGATACGCGATCTAGATCGCTCGAGTAAGTTCGCAATCGCGCGATATCTGTCTCGAGAAGGGCCTTCAATTTTTTCGCGGAATTGATCCTTCATCTACGATCGGAATTCATCCTTCTTCTACGATCTGCTTCCATTCGATCCATGGTCCCGTGAAATTCATCGATCCATTATCAAGCCCATTGATGATGCTCAGTTTGAACTTAACTTAATCGTGTTTGCTCGGATCTCGGTGGGTTCTTGGGCGTAAATTCAAATGGAAATTTGCAATTCGCGAGAGGTAGAAGGAAAGCGATGTCTCGTGTTGGCCGCGCAAATGGTCCCGTGATCCTTGACCTTAAAACCTAGAATTCCGGACGAAACTCGCGTCTAATCCTCGATCGACCTTCCATCGACTTCTCGCGATGCGGCCATCGAGCTGTTCGTCACTGTACTCCCACAGCTTGTTCCTTGTTTTTCTTTTCGCGACGAATCGTTATCTCTGTTATCTTCTAACGATTAAATTATTAGAGGTGGCGTGTGCGTGGGGGAACGCGAACGGTGTGGTTCGGCTCGATATTAAGGTCTATATCCCGCGAGCATCCGTTTAAATATTGATCATCTCGTCTCGTTCGGTGACATTCTTCTTTCCCTTTCTTCCACGCCACGAATACCTCTTTTCTTTATATTTATCCGTTTATACATATCTCGCGTTTCGTATCTTTTTCCCTTCTTTCCTCCAAATCGCGATCATATCGATCCGCGTGGCGTCGTTCATCCATCGATCCTAAGCCTACCACTCAACGTTGCATGCAATCATACTTGTTGTCCAACTGAGGCGTAGTATCATCAATTATCCCCACGTTTTTCTACTTTTTCCCACGTTTTTCCACGTTTCTATCCGGAAACGTGATCGCAACACCAGCTACGCTCGCGCTCGAGGAAATAATTCTAGAGGAAAGTTACGTGAACTTTCCACGTGATCTTCGTGACGAGTCCCACCTCGGAGAATGGCAATGATCGAACCCAAGATCCTACTGGAACATCGAGAAATTATATTTCGGTGGAGTAATTTCGTAATTGCAAAGGTCGCTGGAGAATTCACGGTGCTCAGACGCTCTTATCCGAATCTTTGTTTGAACAGATTTCGAGACGGCTTTCACAAGCATGCCGATAGCGCGAGACTGGAAAAAATAATGACATAGGCGTGCAAGAAAATTGAAAGTTGATACGCCACTCGCGAGAACGCTTACTTGTGACCGGACATGTTGCTGCAGCTTCGTTAGGATAAATCACGGAACGATTTCTTGCACGATAGCGGGCTCGAGGTCGATCTTTTCGCGTTGCGTGTCTTGTGTACGTCGAGTTTCATCGTGGTAGATGGTCCTCTTCGTCTTTCAATCGCGAGATCGCACCCTCTTTCACGCTCGATTCTCCGCGGGATCTCTGTACTCCTTTGCGCCGATTTCTATGCAAATGTCCCTGCCTGTCGAAGTTAAATCAGTGTATAATAACTCGATGAAAGTTACGAGAGGACTTTGGAGAGCGAGGAGGAGGGATCAAGGGCGGAGAGAATTTTACGTGGATTTTGGTTCGACGACTTTGGGGCTTAAATTGTACCAGCACACGGATTCCGCGACTTTTGAGTACCTGAGAAATGGAATTATATGGGAAGTTTATTACAAAGTAATTACGTCTGTGGATTTTCGGAAAATTTGGATTTATTTGGGAACTCGGATTTTTAAAACTTGGAATATTTCGGAATTAAAGCTGTCGAGTCAAATTTGAGAATTCGCTTTGGATGTTTGGCTATTTGGGACTCTGACTATCGAGGAAGATTTCAGAGGCGTTAAATGATCGATAATTCGATGCTTATCTCGGAATTTAGATTTTTACAAATTTAGATAACAAAGTATTCCGAAATTTCAGTCACTAGGCTTCGAGTATTTGAGACTTTGGATCTTTGGGTAATTACGTATGTGGATTTTCGGAAAATTTGGATTTATTTGGGAACTCGGATTTTTAAAACTTGGAATATTTCGGAATTAAAGCTGTCGAGTCAAATTTGAGAATTCGCTTTGGATGTTTGGCTATTTGGGACTCTGACTATCGAGGAAGATTTCAGAGGCGTTAAATCATCGATAATTCGATGCTTATCTCGGAATTTAGATTTTTACAAATTTAGATAACAAAGTATTCCGAAATTTCAGTCACTAGGCTTCGAGTATTTGAGACTTTGGATCTTTGGGTAATTACGTCTGTGGATTTTCGGAAAATTTGGATTTATTTGGGAACTCGGATTTTTAAAACTTGGAATATTTCGGAATTAAAGCTGTCGAGTCAAATTTGAGAATTCGCTTTGGATGTTTGGCTATTTGGGACTCTGACTATCGAGGAAGATTTCAGAGGCGTTAAATGATCGATAATTCGATGCTTATCTCGGAATTTAGATTTTTACAAATTTAGATAACAAAGTATTCCGAAATTTCAGTCACTAGGCTTCGAGTATTTGAGACTTTGGATCTTTGAGTCTCGGGGAACTCGGATTTCAGGGTTGTTAAAAATCTGGGGATATTCTAAAATTTAGGCCACCCAATTTTGCATAATATATCCAAAAATTGAAATCTTTTGAAGAACTTTTTACCGAAAAACTTTTAGTTTAAGACCGTTTCGAAATTCACAAAAGTTGACAGAGTCTTGCCTGCAGGAAGCAGATTCGCGATAATGAGCCTGATCACGAACGATTGGTAATTTCTCGATCAATCATCGATTACGCAATGGCCACGGAAGGTTCTTACACACGGTGATGTGCAACATAGCTGGACAATTTATTCATCTCGTTAATTTCTCGTCAAATCGCGTCGGAGTGTCCGTCGGTAATCGAATCACGATCCCAATGAATAATTCATCGTTCATATTTATTCATCGATCGATGCGACTCTTTTTCCAACGATATCCTAACAATTATAACACTCGCGTTAACACTAGAACTATCAACTCAGTCAAAAAGACTGGTCCCAGAATTTTCCTTTCTGCAATCACCGAACACATACGCCTGCCCACCAATTTAAGAATAAAGTTGGTATCAACTCATATTAAGAAAGAACTGTAATCAATATATTCACTCGTATTCATCGTATCGCTGAAATTACTATAATCCGTGCACGTTATAGTTAGGTACCCATTAAAGATCTAGTGTTAAACATCCTTCGAACATTCCTCGAAAGTCATTTTCCCTTTGAACCCGTTCTCGTTGAACTCCAAAACTCTTCAACGGGATCGTTACGATTTCCAGATCACGTAGTGTCAAAATGGCAAGAAAGAAAGAAAAATAAGGAAATTCTCGTTGAAAAGAGAACAGGTTTTGTCAAGGACGCTCGAGAAGATCGTATTTACACGTTTTTCCTGCATCTACATCTGAATTCGTTGTTCAGGCAGTCGGTTGACTCTCGAGAAGCGCATGGCGCCGCTAATTGGTACTTTAATCCGCGCGAAGTCATTAAGCCGTTTCGTGGCTAGATTTAATGCATAAGAGCATACGTGCTACCCTGTTTGTACCCGCGAATAAAAATTTCCTCGCTTTCCCGACCTTTCGCAGAGGGTCTCGATCGAAGACTGAAGAGCACTCGAGGAAAGTATCGGAAAGTAAATAGAGGAGGAGAGAAGAGGTCAAAGGAACGTTGGAAACGGAGTAGAAGCGAGTAGAGAGGAAATCCAAGGGTTGCCTTTTTCCGTGGATTATGGAACAAGGGCAGGACGCAAAAATGGTGAAAAGCTCGGCGGACTACGTGAAGGCCATTGAGAGCGGGATTCAGCCTACTCAGGTGACTACGTTGTCGATGAAACGCAAGCTGACTGTAAACGTCGAACACTTTAATCCGCAAATTTGTATTCCATCTTCGTGTAATTCAATAAATTCTTCATGAACGGAAAAGTCTCGCCGTTCCGAGTGTAATTTTCTTCTTTTTATTCTTTTTCGTGAGAGCTGAAGGGTTTCTTCCGGAAGATGTGCCAGCTCGGAATGTTTTAGGGCATTAGATAGAACGAGGAAGTAAAAACGTTGGGGAAAATTGCATCTCATGTTTGAGTTAACTTTAGGATCTTAATTTCAGGAAACTTGGATATGAAAAAGGAAAATTAAATTCGAGGGATTTCAGGGAACCTAGAAATTACTGGAAAACATGAATTTAGGTTCGAAGGACCTTAAATCATAGTATTCTGAGTATTTAAGGATTTTGATGCTTTGGAATTTAAAAATGCGCGATCTAGGTACGCTAGAAATTGGATTCAGGGGATCCTTGATGGAAAGCACTTAGGATGAAGATAGTGGAGACCTAGATAGTGCTGATCCGAGTACCCAGGAGATCTAAATGCAGGGAAAATCTGGGTGTAAAGAAGCTTAAACTCCGTAAGGAATTGATAACATGGAACTTAAATTCATAGAACCTTTTTCTTGCAGGTCATCGAGACCAAAGTGTACAAACGACGATGGCTGATCCTGATGATCTTCGTGCTGTACAGCGCCAGCAACGCGATGCAGTGGATACAGTACAGCATCATCGAAAACATCTTGATGCCGTATTACAACGTGTCAAGCTTCGCAGTGGACATGACCAGCATGATATTCATGATTACGTACATTCCATTCATCTTCCCAGCGAGTTATCTGTTGGATAAATTCGTGAGTGCATCGAATTTTTAATTAACCTACTTTCAGACTGTGGACACGTTTTCTTTCGGTTTAATCAATTTTTTCAACAGGCTGATATCGTTGAATTCGCTTACCTTATCTATGCGTTAACAACCGAGATACTACTCCAGCATAAACATTTGAAAGCAGTTAATTTCAATCGTTCTAAAGGTTAATCCAATCGACTTCGTTATCAAGAATGGTATCTCGAGAAGTGTACACGCTTAAAAACTTGCATTTTATATTTTCGTTGCATTTAGAACGTCGTCGATAATGGAACCAAGAGGAAAAAGGTATCGAAACGGAACGAGGGCCAAACAGACCTCGTTTAATATATCTTTTTTCTCGATTCGGCTCTAGATACGCGTTTTAATTGGCTTGGCGATTCTCTGGATTATTGTAGAACCCCTTTTTCCTTAAATTATCTGTCTCGATTTTCTTCGATTAAATTCGAAGATGTCAAAGACGTCTGGCAGCACGGGTCTGAGAACTGTCGCCCTCGACACTGAAAAAGATTAATTATTTTGAGGATTAATCGGCCAAACGGACAATATAAACTTATCGATGAGAGATAAATTCGAAGTCCAAAGGTTATCGATGCTTCGAAATTTGTGGAAAATTTGTACTTACTATTTCAATACGACGTATTACGAATTCACGACGATTGCCCTTGTTTCGCTACACGATATTCAAAGATAGCGATCTTGTTGGCATCTTCCTGTCTGATACGTAAAGATAAATCGGGTTACCAGTCTACAGGTACCTGAATTCAAGAATCATTTGTAATTACGAAATAACACCTTATCAAATATGTATATGCACGTAAGCTTATCGCACAGCGTGTTACAATTCCGACATCGGTATTCAGATACGGGCTAAGTGGAATGAATGATCCAGTACCAGATTTTCTTCATTCATCTCTCATTCAAACGAATAATTAAAAATTGCGGAAATTTTTGCTCGTTATAACATTAAAAAAAATTTTCAATTCGTTTGAGAGGCACTTTGAAAGGACATCGAACTCTTCTATTTCGTTGGTCTTTATGATGGAATTACGTGATAAAATACAAACCGATGTTTTCGCAAGGCGAGTCGGGTTGAATTGTTCGTGCAATCATTCCTTTGTTCCCATGCTTCTTTGCAAAATGCTTTGTTTTCCGAGGAATATTGTAGTTGGGACTCACAGTAGAAGTAGAGTCACACGTGAAGTTTATGAATTCTCGAAAAAGGCCCAAGAAGATTTGGGCACTTGGCTAACAGATGAAGGTCAGACTTTCTCCATATAGTCGGTTGCGTTGTCACATCTTCGAAGAATTCTTCTTCTTATCAGTTTATCAACCGTCCGCTTTCACTGAAAACAATGACTTGTCAAATATATAGAGAATGCGAAAAGTATTGAAAGGCATGAATTAAAGAGATAAAAGAAATTAAATAATAATATTAAATATGTTAGTATAGTATATTTTTTAGAATATCAGATTCGTGCAAATTTTCTGTGTCCAATACACTTTCAGCGATTATACATCCGCATAGAATTCGAATTAACGTGTTCCAAATATGTAACATTAGTTTTAATTAGATGGTGAATCGGCCAGTGTCCAGCAGCCGTCAATTCAAGTGTCAGTTTATGCCAATCTCTCCTAATTTTCTAAATGCCTAATGTTCGATTTCAGGGACTCAGGTTAGCCGCCCTGGTAGGTGCCATCGGAACGGCGCTTGGAGCTTGGATAAAAGTGTTCAGCGTGAGTCCAGATAGGTTCTGGGTCACTTTCGTCGGCCAGACCCTGGTCGCCGTGAGCCAAACGTTCGTCTTGTCGGTCCCAGCTCGTTTAGCTGCTGTTTGGTTCGGTCCGGACCAGGTCAGCAGCGCTTGCAGCATCGGCGTTTTTGGAAATCAGGTCAGTCACTGCTGGGTCAAAAACTTTTTCCACGAGCTTCATATTGGCTGGCATTGCGTACGCCGGAGAATAAAGATCGAATAGACACGTGCATAGGTACTGGAAGATTGAATAACCTTCGACAGAGACGAACATCGACGTATATCTATCCTAGCGCGCTTCATACAGAGTGTTCCAGCATTGCCATGATTAATCTCTGTGGGATGAGAAAAGATAGTCAAAGGGGATCTCGGATGCTTGCAAACATTGAACGAATCTACTTTTTAACATTGAAATACCTCGAACGAGCCCAAATGAACAGCTCCTGTGCGATAATTTCGCAGGCTTTGATCCTTCATGTCCTCTCCACGTAACTCGACCCTCGAACATGCCAGCCAATTAGGACAGTTCGCTGCAACTTCAACGACCAATTAATTAAACTGCTCTTAACCCTCGAACACCCTTTGCAACGTCATTCTTCTGGTATACCTTGTTCTTCCTTCAATCTTAATTCGCCGTCTTCACCTAAGGAAGACGTTCGACATCGTCGTGTTAGGCTATTGTCCCAATTATCGTCTCAAAAGTCAACGTCCATCAGCCTACAACCTTATCCCTCCGCTCTATTCGACCGAAACAGTAGAATCGTGTGTCGAATACGCGATTTCCATCAATGGAAGACGAATAAATGAATCTGTTGGTTCCCGTGGCTAGTCGTTAACGAACGACACTGCTCGTTAATGGAGCTCGAGTGCACACTACCTGTTTGACAGAACTCTAATTCGAGGGACAGGGTCGTTGAAGAGTTAAGCAGTGATTAGGTGGGAAACGGAGTCGAACTATGCACCCACGTTTCATTTCGCGGCTGCACTGGGGGATCTGGGCCCCATCCAGTGAATTAAACGACTACATTTTTAAACGGAGCACCCTTTCCCAGAGATAATCTATTCAAGGTGCATTGCCGACGAGATTATTTTGTTATGAGCTCGGTGTCTGCGATTGACGTGGATCTCGACCTGTTTTCGTCTGGAAGATACATATCTTTCCGCTTATATTTTTATCATACCAGTATATATTACTGAAACCCTTGAAGCATTCCAAAGAAACAAGCTTCCTGAGCAAGTAAGAGATCTCGGAAGGGTATTCCTCTTTTTATCATTAATTAGCAAATTTCGTAATTCCTTCGATAGATTGTTGCGTAGAACGAATGGGAAATAGCTATCACGAAATTGGTATAAATGATCGTCGACCTTGTTGTATTATATATGATTTATCACAAGCTTTCGAGAGCGGAACTCTCGTCGGAATGGTCCATGATAGGCTGAAAAGAATAATGATCCCTTGCTTCCTTGAAATAACAACAATGGCCATCGAGCATCTCTCTCGACGACGGCAATTTCACAATAAACTGATGACATTCGTGCAAACTTGCAACTAACAATTACATCTTCCTTTTTTGATCGAAAGAATTTCGTAATTGGTCCCTTTTATTCTTCCTCTTGTACTATGCATCCGACGTTCGAACGATTGTTTCCACTTACAGTTGGGCATAGCGATCGGTTTCCTCTTCCCACCGATGCTGGTGCAAAATAGCGACGATGTGGATGTAACTGGCCGAGGATTGCAAGTGATGTTCTATATCGTGGCTGCCTTTACCACCATTATTCTGGTCCTCATAATTATCTGTGAGTATCTACACTTCCCTGCAATCATAACCCGAATGACAAACAGGTTCTTCGATTCGTTTTTATTCTTACGTAAAATTTAGGTGCACTACCGACGAGACGAGGCGTTAAATAAATGTTCTTCTTTCAGTTTTCAAGTCTGAACCACCGCTTCCTCCGAGTCCAGCGCAAGCGGTGCAAAGGGAGACAGAATCCACGGAAAGCTTCCTTTTCTCTGTAAAGAAACTAGTCACAAACGTGGGTTACTTGTTGCTGTTGCTCAGCTATGGAATCAACGTGGGCGTATTCTATGCCATTAGCACACATCTCAATCATATAGTCATTACATACTTCCCTGTAAGTCCTCTTCGTCGCTTCTTTTATTGTACCTTTTTATTTCGTTCTGGCTTTTAATTTTAATTTGAGAAAATCCTCGTATCGCGTTCAGTGTATATCGTTAAAATTGCTCGCAGCAAACTTATTCGTTTTAATTTTCAGAATCAGCAAGAAGACGCTGGAAGGATCGGTTTAACCATCGTCTGCGCTGGGATGTTGGGTTCCGTGGTATGTGGCATCGTGCTGGACAAAACGCACAAATTCAAGTGAGCGAAACTTCCAAGCAGATTGATCGATGAAGTATACTTGCCTTGGTAATAGGTTCTATGTATGTGAATTAACATCTATTTGCAGAGAGACGACACTAGGGGTTTACCTTCTGTCCTTCATTGGCATGATCGTATTCACGTTCACTCTGGACACCAGTCAGATATACATCGTTTACATAACATCCGGCATGTTGGGGTAAGCATCAACCACCCTATTGATATTTTAGATATGCAGATATTAATAGGAGCCTAATATCTTAATTTCGGATTCTTCCAAGCCTAAATCCACTAGTGAGTTTCAGAATCCACTTCGAGATCAACGTTTCGTGTTTAAATTTTTTCATGGTGCCTGTTCTTTCCACGACATAATGGCTTTTTCAATTTGATCTAGATTCTTCATGACAGGCTACCTGCCGGTGGGTTTCGAGTTCGCTGCAGAGCTGACATATCCGGAACCAGAAGGAACGTCCACGGGTCTGTTGAATGCGGTGTGTCAAATCTTTGGTATCATCTTCACGATGCTCTATGGCCACCTCTTCACCATTCTGGGTGACTTCTGGGCGAACATCTTCCTCTGTGGCACATTGGCCCTTGGCTCATTCCTCACTATTATCATTCCGAACGATCTTCGAAGGCAAAACGCCAAGTTTTAAACGCTAATCTTCCACAGTCGAAGATTGAGAGATAGAAAGTCAGAGAATGATCGACTAGTCTTATTTGTGATTGATGATATTGCGAAAATAGAGCTTCCGTGTTTGGTTATGGATATTTAAGGTAGACGAGAAATGAATTGTTAAAGGTTGTTAAGAGATGATTGATTCTGTTAGAATGCCAGATAAGATTCTACAGGATTTCGCAACCCACGTTCTCAGCCGTTGTTATTATTATTCTTTTACTCTTTGTGTGCAACATTTCTTCTACCTCGTTGGTTTATTAATTAAAATCTGAAATTAATATCTGCTTCTTCGAGATGTTCCAAGAGATTACAATACCAAATGACAAGTTATCGGTGTATCTTTGTATCCTGTTGAAGTAGATTATCACTTGAAAAAGAAAAATGATCAGAGTAGCAATTGAAGTGGACACGAGTTATAAGAATATCCGAATAATAACAACGGTAGTACAGATAAATAAACGATGACGTTGGACATGGTTCAAGATCTGAAATCATAATGGAATATTCCACGTAACCTCGTACCAGTGCGTCCATAATTCGGAGCTGTATTTGTAAACGTGATTAGTTGCAATGTTAATTATTAGTATTCAATGAGGAATCAAAGGTCTACCCTCTAACATAATTTTCTTGACACTGTTCCTTCTATTTTGCACTATGACGACAGTTTGTTATCGTGGAAGGATTCCATTGCGCGTAGATAATGTCTGGAACTTCTGCGTTGCGTTTCAAGTGAAAGAAAGTCGAATGTAGAGCAAGCTACAAGGCCAGTGCTCGCGTAGTTTTAAGGGTCAAAGACTTTCATCTCGTTCATTATTCGCGTAGTTTGAGAGTGTCAGGAGAGAATTACATTCCAGGTCTTTTGTTCCAATGTATTACCGTCTTCTACGACTCTGACGAAACTCGTCTAACAGCTCTGTCAGCTGAGAGATTCATTCTAACTTCTATATTCTGAAACCTCGAACGATGCGAAACGAGACGAGAAATTTAGCGTTTATACGATCACCACGTTCAAAATTGAAACCAGTACTCGATGAATCAATGGAAACTCGTTTAGAATAGTATTTCGTGGACACCAAAGAGTAACAGAAGCGGTGGTATCGATAATAATGATATTTCTAGCGATTAGATTCTACGAGACGATTAAGGTACTGTGCATCGGAATAATATGTAAAATCTATTTATTCTCGTTACTCGTATAAATGTTTTATCGGATACGTAGAGTAGATCTTCAAATTTCGATCTTTGTGCCGTACAATACCAATTATTCGTGGAGCTTTCGATTTCGAGTGATTTTACATCCTGTTCGAGTGGTGTTTCAAACGAAATCGGTCATTTGCAATAAGACTGACGCAAGTCGGCGGATATTGATCGGAGGAACATTTTCGAGAGGCAGATAAGATATCGAATATCGCAAAGCCTTTACAACCGTATTTGAGGTATTTAAAATTTATATCGGGATCTCAAAGTTCACGTGGCTCTTACAACGAACGAGCGACGCATCTCGCCACCTCGTTGCCATAAATTGAAATCTGTGACGGAAGATTAAATCTCGTAGGAAACGATTTTAACAGGCGGCGAGTTTTTATGGTCCATCCCGTTTAATAACAATTTTCGATAATTCGATGACCCAGAAACGCGGCGAAATATGCGAGCCATCGAAGAAGCAGATCGTTCCACTAGCACAGAAACTCGATTTACGAGCTGATCGCCTCGAGTACCGATTAAACTCGCTTCACACGAAGCGGCCGGGGAAAAATTAATTATCGCGGAGAGGTCAATCCAGACGAGCTAACAGATACCTGAAATCGATTAACTTTTTTCTTTTTTCTAGCTGAGAGTGCTTTAGGGATCGTTGAAATATCGTTAGGCTTTACGTTCTATTTTAGGCTACAGAGAGTTGGCGTCGTCGTCCGACTACCTCTAGATTTTAGCTCAGCAAGCTTTCTTTCATTTCGAGCATCGTGTAACGACATATGACAATAATCGTAGGCTATACGTACAAAACGAGTATTAAAGAACAACGTGAATATTTGTAGTAATCGTTTGTAGATTGTGATCACCGATGTATGTGTACTCTTTCTCTTCTAGATATTATCGTGTGTCCTAAAGTCGTGGGGCCATGCGTATTCAATGATAAATCTGTAACGACGAACCGAGGATTCGAGTTCGATAGAACACAGTTTGCCTCTATTTTTATATAACGTTCTTTTATAAAGAAGATGATCGGAGAGAAATCGTCACTAGTTTACTTTGACCTGTGTTCTTAGACTCTGGTTTCGAGATGGACGACCGTATACTTTCTTCCCTCAACAAATTGTCACAAAGCGAAGCCTCCGGGATCTAAACTCCGCGGAGTGTCTGTCAATTATTTATCACGAATCCTTCTACCAAGTCACGAAACGAATGAACAGTTTAAAGATTTTACACATACACAGAGGCACACGTGTAGGTATATCTATATATATTTTCGTATAAATCGACGTGTATACTCGATATTGTGTATTTTATCCAACGCCGTCGTGTATCTATATGCAAGTTGTTCCAAGCATATCTTTTATAATCGATATAGTTGGAGGATGTTAACGCAGTTCAAATGTTTACGATAGTTACTGTATCTCGATGTGACTTTAACGACAATATTAAATGTTAACACGTGTTTATATTTCCGAAGAATCACCTGAAAGCGGGTGTATCGATAGTCGCCGACAATAAGATAGTTTCGAGTGAGTTTTAAGCATGGCCAGCGATTCGAGATTTAGATAATTCGTGGGTACGCGCTTTTATTCGAGAGAAGAGATTAGAAACCGGACGAAGAAGCTTGCGGTCGGGGATACGACATAAAGAGGAATCGTGGATGGTTTCATTGCGATCTCTTTTAATTAATTTTGCTGTATCAGCAACGACTAACATTTTACTGAAACGAAAATGTGGTGCCAACCACACGAATGTACCTTTGTGTAACCGAGTGGATCGTTATTTCATTGACACTAGAACTACCGACCTGTAATGTGCATCGAGCTGTTTTAGCAAGGATAATTAAGTAATATCGATTTGCGCGAAAAGAAAGTCGATTTAAAAAATAAATCCAGTTGCACTTCTGAGGAACGTCAGAGTGACCAAGCTTGTTGGACAATGAAAGTTCTCCTGTGCAAACTTTTCCATCTTCGAATTGCAACTCGGCCTTGAATATTAATTAATATGTTACTAAATATTCCGTGCATAATTATCTTCACGTTTATCCCTGTGAGTATGACCATTCAGTTTCGACATAAGCAGTTGTGTGCTCGCGATAAATACGAAAACAGGAAATCTGGAACGAGACGTATTAACTGGTTTGGTAGTTTCAGTGTTAAGCAAGCGGAAAATTTACGATACGGATGGATAGTTCGTTTTATTCTTTTCTTCCTCTTCGTTCGAGCCGCACATTTTTTACTTCGATAGGATCGATCGAGGAATTTCCGTTTTTATATTTTAAATCGTTCCGACGTGAAGAAAAGAGTAACGCGAGGAAATGGAGATCGAAGTGATTCGTCTTTGATCGATCGACCAACGATATTACGTAGTCTTCCGTTCTTTTTAATTTCGTACCTTCGAGCGTTGCATTCATCATTCACTTAGTTCGTCATTTTGTATATTCTGTACTCGATAAAATAATAGCGGGCCCCGTGATTTTCAGTATTCCTCGAATAGCTTTGAAAACCGAAATTGGTTTTACAAGAGATAATTCCTCAAACTTGACACGCTCGACAATTTTTAAATACGTCAGAAATTTCTTCATTATCGAACAACGAAATCTTGTTAACTTATTTTCTTCGCATTCTTGCTACTTTTTTGTTGCGATCATTTCTCACGTAACCAAGCAATCTGTAGAAAATTTATTGAAAATTTATAGGAGCAAGTTATTTAAAGAAATTTATAAAAGAATAGATTTAAATTTATAGACACTTACGAATATTTATGCAAAATTTGCTACAGTGTATTATTCTCGAGGAACACTGGAAATCATAGGCAAAGTATGCTTTCATTTTATCGTGTACCATAGATTGTCACAATGCGACGCGTTTCCTTCGTTCTCCCACGAGCATGGAAATTCCGAAAGTGTTCAAGGCCTGGAAACGCTCGCGACGAATGTTAGACAAAAAGTATCTGTGATTGTTGACAATATCCGTTATTCGATTATCGTCTGAATATGTAGAGCGATAAGAAGCTTCGAAGATTTAAAAGCCTTAAGATTATCTGTATGTTATTGTTATCGTGTAGTCTCGTTGAAAGTGAATCGAGAAATAAATAAATTGAGAAATATTTACGATAAAATTCCCACTGCTTTGTCGTTTTTCCTTTGTTTGACCCCTTCGCCTACAATATCGTGTGAAACTTGTAAGCAGATCGGGCCGAGCACGAGTATTACGAACGATAGTCCGTGGGTCGTAGAATGTAAACATCACTGGTCAGCCTCGTAGTTAATTTCCGACGATGTTTTCCTGTCTCAGTTGCGTTATATTCTTCGCCGCGTTCGCACGAAGTAGTTCGCGCGATGTGTTTCGACGTATCTCCACGTGTCCGATGTTGTTGGCTGTGGCACGTGTTATTGGAAGTTAAATGGTAAGGCACAGAGTTAAATAAAATTTCGTGAGAAACTGAAAATATATAAATTAATTAATTGGAGATAAAGAAATATTTCTTTTTAATCGATTCGACGAATAGTTACATTCTTATATTCTCTTAATAGGGAACTTTATTTTCGCGATTTACCGAGCGCTCTTGAGGGCTGTCTTCTAATAATAGTAACAGGAAAATATTAGAAGCCGAGAAGTTTTCTCTAACCTCTTGTATAGATATGTTTTTCTGGTGAGAAAGGGAGGGGTATAATAGGGAAATATGAAGAGACAGGCGTGACGTTTAACTTTTTCTATGGTCGTGATTCCCTAGTGGAGAATCTGGTTACATTGTGTAGGAAGGGAATTATAACTAACGAGGAGGTATCGTGTAACTTCTTGCACAGCCATGTTTTCCTAGTAAGAGAATTCATTTTTCGACGCTTGAAGAACGTCGATGGAAGCATTTTTGATGACGGAATGTAGAGCGCGAGTGTAAAGGGATAATCGAATTGAAATGAAGCAAAATTGTTATTAAAAATTTTTGGATTATGTTCATTAGGTGATAGTGGCATATTAGAGACGTGTAAAAGACAATGTTGTAAAATAGTTCGCCAATGATATCTTAATCAAATGTAATTTAAAGGTTGATTAATGATATATTATTCTATCTGTGCCTTCGGCCATATTGTTCATGGTCTTTCAATAGCCTCAAGATTCGAATCCATGAAATATTTGACGCAGAAAGTATATACGAATTTCTGTTTTTTCGATATTGCTTTAATTTTATATAAATTCGTATTATTGTGTAAATGTGTGTGTGTGCGTGTGTATGTGTTAAGTGACACTGCACTGGTTTTATATGAAACGTGTCAGAAATTGGAGCTGAGTGAAAGAGAGAAGAGAGTACATTATATGATGTATTAGCAAGATCTAAAGATTGGGCTAAATTGCTGGTCAGCGTAAGGTAATGTGAAATTTTGTTTTAATTATATTTATTGATATCATTGGTCCACTTATCTGAAGAGACAGGCTTATTTTCCATGTTGTAAATATTATTTCGTGATATTATATGTTTTATTTAATTATTAATTGCAAAATAATACCAAGCTAAAGCTGGATTAAATTTGCACAACTTGAAACTCATTCTAACTTTCCAAGATTTTTTATTTCCTTCATTTTGTATTAAAATTATCATTTGGTAGTAAAATATCAGTATTATCGAATGTCGATAATTTTGTTCCAACATAGTTTAGGTAGTAATTCATAGAGAGCGCGAGAAACGCACAAATTCTTTCCGTGGTCGGTATTTCAGAACTTGTGACACAAAGCATATAATAATGTCCATCCTTACCTTCCTTGTGTAGTATCAGGTAAATTTAAACAAATTTCTTAACTGTGACTTATTAAAATAATCTTAATTTATTAAAACTATGACAATTAATTCATTAAATAAACGTAAAAATTTAATTGATATTTAGATTTATATCTTACAAACCATCAATTAGAATTTGTAGGTTTGAAATCCATAATTTTTTAGTATAATTTATCAAATGTAACCTATAGATTGTAATATTTCAACAAGTAGAAACATTTTAATCGAGAAACAGACATAATAATCTAATCACGAATCCAAGCACGCATCGACCACTCCAACCGGTTTTCAGGTGGGTGCATACCGTACTAAATTGACGGTAGAAACTCGTCGTTGGATTTTTATAGCCCACGGTAAACACAAGTCGTTTCTTTAGTTGTTGGTCATAGAAAATATTGATCAACTCAACTCTATATCCGCATTTTTATAAACCACCGTAAGCAGGCAAGATTAATTCATAAATAATATTTATTCGGATTATTTGCCATAATAAAATATTATGAATTAACGAATCCATCGCAAATAAATTTTTGAGGTTAGCATCAGGTCGCAATGAATTATTTTAACGTATTATCGCCACGAGATGTCTCGCGACTCTTTATTACCATTTTTCTTACATTTCTTTTATCACAGTCGATGCTACGAAATACATATACAGATTGCTTCTCACGTGTTCAACAATAAATATAGTAGGGAAAAGAAAACTCAGATACAATCATCGTTACCAACGTTCTTCATTATCGCGTAGAAGTAAATGCCATTAACCGTAAAATACACGTTTCAGAAGAAAACGAAGGTGGAGAGGGGGTAGAACTTTCAGCACGCGTTCAACTAGCATATCGAATGCTGACATTCGTTATGCTAGCACAAACAAGGCTCTTTACGGTCTCTGACCGACGGTCACGCAAATGTTTTATAATCAGAATCGGGTCAAATAATATGTAAATAGCTTTTCTAAACTTCAATTAAAACTTCACGCAAAGATTGTACATCATTTATCCCTGATGTAATTAGAGCCATTTACTTATTTCGATACCATTACCCGATTTTGGTTAAACAAATTAAAATATGGAACAAACGAGGGCGTTGTCATCGCGACGAAAGCATCTGTTACAAACAAAATTGCAATATGCAAAAAGGACAATTTCATCGTTCTTCGCATCTGAAATTATCGAGTAAACGATACTCGATGAACCCAGACACAAAAGTTAATATTAATAGTATACAATTGTGTTATTTCACGCAAGGTGATTAAAAAGGCACACAGGCGTGCGTAGTCTGAGGCACATCGAATCAGCAGCTTCTGGTGTGCTTCGGAAAATGACTTAGAAGAAGAATTATAAATGTCGCGCGGATAACATAAAATGGCACCTCTTAGTCACGCTTGGTATAGTCCAATCTGAAAACATGCCACCCGGATAATCTGTACTTTGATACAATCGTAGAAGCATATGTTTTCACTCATACGGAATATCCGTATGAACCAATTCAAACTCGTGTACACGCAATTCAAACGCATTACTAGAAATTTAAACTGGAAATTTCTCAACGAGAAATTTCAATTTAAAAATATAATTTGCAGTTTGAGAATTGGAAATCCTAAGTTCAAATTGAAAAGTTCTTCTACAAACAGACGGTGATATGTTGAATCAAACATCATTCCGCAGTGTAAGCTTCGTTTACATGTTATCAGTTGAGGGTCAATGTTTACCACCCGACAGCCTCGCAGACTTTTACAAACTATACAAACCGCAAACATCTATATTGAACATCACACCCGCACACACGTGTAAACATATACGTATATAGTATAGAATTATCTAAACGCGGAACATAATTACCATACAGCATTTGGTAAACAATGATATCTGTTCGGTGTTCTATTTGATCCTTTGAGGATCGGCCAATAGTGGACGGATCTGTTCTAAAATCTCAGTAAAACGTTTTAAAATTCTCAGTTTAAAAATTCTCCATAAACTTTCTGCTGTAATTCTTGTGTACTTCTCGTGTAGCGTAGGGTACATATACGTATAGGCACGTTCCTCGTTTCTAATCTGTTAAAACAAGCAGTCACAAAAGTCTCCAACTATATATCTAGTCACTACTCTATGATACGGACAAGCAAAATCCTCTCCCATTACGGCTACATTTTAATTGCACTTGAAATCGAGGTGAGACGTTCACACTTCGCTTTGCTCTTCCACGATAATCGTCGAGGTCGTGATCAAATAACGAAACGTCAACATCTATCGCTCTACTAATCACGATCATTCAAACAAGACACGCTGTGTGTATACAACTGTTACGTCTAAATGTTCATCGAACGTTCTGTGCCATGGCCCCTTCGAAATGCTTTCCAAATTTCATTCCATCCTCGATTCTCATTTCGGTGCTGTCCATTAAAATTTCCCTTATCTCGCTACAACTCGTCGCTACAGTTTGTCCTAAATTTAAAAACTAATCACCACCCTATCTTAATACCATGCCTTATCTCCTCCTGTTATCTTTCAATCCTCTTAATACCATAAGTAACGTACAATAATTAACGAAGAAACCTCGCTGATCATTAAAACAATAGACAGCACCATTCAGCTGTTCACCAATCACTCTTCATCCTACTTAATTCAACCACGCCTACTAAAATTGCTCGAAGAACGTTCATCGTGTTTAGAACATGCTCCTCTATCTTCATCCACCGGTTTTCTCACAGAAAATCTTTCCCTGTCCTTCGCTCTCTCTTCTTCCAACAACCATCCCAGAGATTCTCGACAAACAAAGAAGGCACTTCGTTCTCCCGGCGAGAAAGGTCCATGATATAGAATGAAGGTTGAACGACGACGCACGACTAGCGGCCAGAGCCCGGGGAATCGTCGCGGCCGCTCCATGGTCAACCATAATGGTGGGCAACGCGGTCGGCTCGCTCCTTTCCCGTCGTTCTTCGCCCGTCATCGACTGATCCCGATGCGCCATCGCTAGGGAACAGACTCAGAAGCTGCCGCACTCGCGCAGCACGCGATTTCCGAGCGGCATTGGTGGACGGAAGTTGTTGATTACCTGCAACAAGAGACGCAGAGGCGCCGGAATTAGAAAATGGGGCCGTGATTCCGCCGATCTGAAATTCATTCTTTCGCAGCCGGACGTAGACGCGACGGGACGGCTAAAAATAAAACGAAGGGGGAAAAAATGGGAAGGAAGGGGTGGGCAACGTGTCACCGAGTCAGACCTAGCAGGCCGACCCGGGTGAGAAAGATTAATTGAACCAACGGGGGAGGTGTTCGATGGGCGTTTCGTTCCACCTTCGTTCACGGCGATAGGAATTCCAGATAAATTCTGAGAAAGAAATGTTAGAGAAATATCGTGGATCGCGAATGACAAAGCGAAATTTAAGTCGTTCAATTTTTACTTAGCAAATTCTAAGCACTAGGTGTGGGTGTGCACTGTCAGTTAGGATACTTGGGATTTTCCTGGGTTCTTTATATCCACGTTCTTCATTAATTTCCTTAAGCGATACCTTCGATTTAAATTATGTCTGATGGTAGGATTATAAATTATTATAAAACAAATTACAGATGACTAATATAACTGTAGGATATCTTTAGGTATTATTAGGGTACAATGGTCGAAGTATTCCTGTAGGGAACATTTTGTGGTATCCTTTACCTGTCAATTTGACAGGTGTCCTTAGAAATAGGTATACAGGTAGCGTCCGTAAATCTAGTGTTAAATAGAAGTTCCTATGCCACCTAAGTATCCCCGGTCTAAGGCAGGGCCTGCTAGAAGAAAGCCTTACTGATGGGTTCACTAGCAGGCCCGAGACGAAACGCATCCCTTCCTTTTCCTGTCGTTCTTTCATCTGTTATCCTATCAATAGCAACGACGATCACGGGGATACCGCTAACAGGCTAGCACCAAATAGGATACCAGCCCAAATTGTAGATACCAGAGATACTAAGTAGATACCAGACCCAGTCCGCTCGAGTACATCGAGTTAACTATCGTACTTAATAAATCTCTCTCTTGGAGATAGAATATTTGGAGTGGTATCTAGCCTAAACCTTGATAGCCAGATCCTACACTGTGTGACTCTACATAACTGTTAATAAACTGTTGTACACTTACCGCTCCATGATTCTCATGACAGGGACACTCTTCGCCACGGGAGAATTTACGTAAATTGCGGAAGATGTTGAGCTGATGATGAGACACCTCGATGCACTTCTTGAAGAGGATCCAAGTGACGCTCTCGTTGCAAGGTGGCGTCGTCAGCGAACCCAGATACGTCCAGTAGCCGTTATCATCTGGATCAACGAACGGAGAAGAAAGAAGATATTAAACCTGGATCACGAAAACGAAGAGAGGACTAAGTAAGAAAAGTCGTTCGTATCTCCAACGATCAAAACTGCCACAGCGATAAATGGCGGACGCGTACGATAGAAAAGCGCGCTCGCGTGATGGATTAGCTCGCGTTTTTACTTCTGACGTCTTAAACAGTCTGCTAATTTATTCAATATGCGAAGCGTCGAGCGCGGAGAAAATGATTATGTAACTTCATTAACGTATTATGCACGGCCGCGAGGAATTCTTAATTAAAACGCCGCTCGAAGCTCTGGCGATAGATCCTCGCGATTCTTGCGTGCAACCGAGACCACGATTGCACTAATATCGAAGATATCGCTGATATTTGTCTTTTATTTTGCAGGAGATAACTGTTGAATTTTTAACAAGCCCTCGAAGCAGCGGGTAAACAAATTTCCGTCGGTCTTCAAGGATATCGAAAAGAAGTAAGTGGCTTCCCTGTTTGCAATTTCTAATTCTCTTTGTGTGGCCAGGATCGCGTGGCCTAGACTATATCACAGGTTTTAAGTATTAAGCGATTACAACTAGGAAGGAGAATGAAATTTTCAAGCTCACCTTCTGGTAAACGGACAAGGGAGAAACGAGTTTTCGAAGGATCTTTAGGAGTAATTGGTTAATGGCGGGAGAGAAGGAACGAGGAAGAAGACGGATTGACGTAGAAGGAATATAAAATTGGCGACGTTTAGGGGAAATACCAACCAGGAAGCAGCATGCTGGGATCGATTTGTTCCACAATTTCTACGACTTCACCCTTGTGCGAGACGTAGGGTAGCAAACGGGCGATCTTCTCCATTTCCACGTGTGTCTTTCCCACCTGCAATTCAAACGTAACGTTGTAATGCTTCCACGAGAATGATTATCGAGCATTAACACCTATCGTGAAATTAAGACCGCAGACGCATAATGGAGAAATAGATTGGATGATTTTAAAATGGTAGCACTGACAAAATGCGTGTCACTTTCTTCGTTAAGTTCAAAAACAATTGCATAATCAATGCAAATCAAGTTTAGAAAAAGAGATACGTAGATTCAGTAGTGTTTTCAACTTCTTATCTTACAAATCTTCAACCATAGTTTCTTTGTGCTTATTTTCGAAGCTTTTAAAGGTAGTTTTAAAGGTAGTTTGAAATTTTAAAAGTAGAAATAGTCGATCAAAAATTGTAAGGTACATTCCAAAAATTCTTCATAAAATTATTTTTCTCGTCTTTCTTTATTCGTTTCTTATTGAATCTTAGGAATGAAATCCTCGATAAATATTAGCGATGATGTTGCGAGAATGACTGGAATCGTTGTATGAAAGCTGCGAGAATTATAATTTGTCTTATCAAGAACGTCGCCATCCAGTCTCTCGAATTCAAAGCCAGTGGCTTTCGAAGGCGTTGTCGAGAAACTGCGAACGAGGAAATAGAACTTAAACGGGAAAATGTACTTAAATGTACTTAAATATAGCTAGAAGCGCGCGATCTCGCGGTTGAGTCGAGCGCAACCGATATTAATGACCGTGCATTATTCAATGATCGTCAAACGTGCATCGCTTAGCAATAATATATGCGTAGATTGCGATCTGTCGAAACTGTTAATGCACAGCTAGCGGGTGGAATTCATAATGCTCTTTCTAGAGCATAACAAGTCGCTACAACGGACTTCAATCGCGATAAAATGTGTTATGTATTTCCTCGATTACTATGGAACGGCTCACACTGTGCTCGATTTGAAGACGGTTATGTTCGTGAAAGGCGTTAGGAAATGATGTATTACGAACTTTTTGTCACGCGTGTCATAAAGTACTATGAATTGCGCAGTACGTAGCTCTAAGTTCCTAACTTTTCCAATTATCGAATATTAAATATGAAACACGTCCGACGAAATGAGATTAAAGACATTAAGTTTGCAAATAAGATGCGACACAGGAAAATGTACAACAACGCGATCGGGTAAGATAAATTCGAATAGGTTTGCTGCCGTAAATAATTCGATGGATTACCATAAATTCAATGAAAATGCCCAGGAAACCACGACCAATGTAAACAATCGGTTGCACAATGCTACTTTCCGACCTGCCTCGGGTTACACTGTTCCGCAAACGCTCACAATGATTGCACAATAGCTGCGCGTGTCTTTTATCTGAAAACGATTGGACATTCGAATTTATATCGTCCTCTTACGAGACAAAGTCTGCTCCTGATCGCGAACCACGAACGGAAGTGGCCAATTGAAAATTGAAACCGAAACCGATAATTCTCTCAGTCTTTCTGCCAATCACCCATCTCTCTCGATTATAAATTTAAATCTCGATATTAAAATTATAGGTAGCGTTATCTCTTCGAATTTTTAAAGAAACTTCGATCGGTCTGTCGCGCAATTTGAATCGCGCGCGAAATTCCGCGAACATGGCGGAAGCGGGGATTTGAAATTGGTGCGCGCGGTATTTCCATACGTCCTTCGCGGCGCGATAGCGAGCCGATAAAAAAGAATTTCACTTCACCTTCGAACCGTCGAACAATGATGCTCGTTCAGACGCTTACGTAACACGTCATCAAACCGATGATGAAGCGAACGGCGTCACTGTTACGGATTCTGCTTACGGGAGCTTACCATCTTATGTAAAAGCTCGGACTATAAATATGCTCGCACGTTCTTATAATGCACCCGTAGGAAAGGCATAAACAGCATCTAAGCGAATTACGATCTTAAGAATCTGTCGTTGGCGGCTTTGAAACGGTTGTCAGGACACTCGATACTGGTATCGTTTTAACGCTACAGCCACGGTGAAAGACTTTGGTCGTTCGAGGTCATTCCCCCCACCACGCGTCGCTAGAGATGAAATTCGAATTCTCCGTTGCTACTTATCGTCGTGCAGCATTTTTATCTTCTTCGCTCTCGCGAGCCAAGAAAAGAAGGAGAAAAATAGTAAATTGAAATACGAACGTCACAGCGACGATAATTCTTTTGCTGCCTTGAACAGACGATCGCGTGTTCCATGAGGATTAGTGCATTAATTCTTATCAAATTCGAAGAATTTAGAAATTTTAAATTGAGAAATCGACTCTTGTAAGTTCATAGAAAAGCATAGCGGTTTCGAGGCTATTAGGAGCAACTGATTTTAAATTAAAACACACTGTCGACGAGCAAAGAGGAAAAAGATCTATGATCAGCAAACCTCGACGGAACTTTATTGTTAACTTGATTACCTAATTATAGCTGCGCCAGAGTATTACTCGTAAGTGTCTACATAATAATCACCGTGCCATTCCTGCGAGCGATTCTCATGCACACGGTTATCGATAATTAAACTCGTAGCTCGGTGCATTTTCAGCTTCCTCTTCATCCATGATCGGAAAAAAACGGAGCTGACATAGATTGAACCTAACTGCAAGGATAACTCGAGCTCTAGAAAACGGTACAGCGGACGGAATGATTACTGACCTTGAGAAACACGCCGAGTACTGCAAGGCCATCAGACGCCTTCGCAGCTTCTGCGAACGTGTTGTATTTGCTCGTGTTCCAATGCACCAGATGCAACTGCAACGCAAAAATAATTAATTAATCGTCGGACAAAATTAATGTAGTAATTTAAAAATAATTTTTAAAACTAATTATTTTAATTCTTGTCGCGTTAGAAATTGGAATTTTTCGGGTTTCCAATGGAAACTAAATGTAGGCAAAGAATTATACCGTTGTAAATTTTATTTAGAGGATATAGTATTTAGAGGAACAAGCTACTCTAACAATCGATAATGCGATTACTATAATTATCGCGAGTCACAGGATATCGTTACACAATTCTGCTAATTTAATCAACCGCAGGAGGAATCAGTAAACGATCGCACGTCTGGAATATTCTCGTGCATTATCCGAAAAAAAAGCCAGTTTACAATTAAACTGACAATTTTCCTCGTTGTTTGCACCGTAATACAAGCACGCTATCCGTAATAGACTCCATGAATATTAATCACTCAAAACCACTTCTGGATATCGTTAAAAGAGCCATGCGACCGGGAAGAAAGCTGCTAGTTTAGATACAGTGAATCATCGAATTCAGCCTCCTTTCTACCATGGATGAAGCGCGTGACGTTTGTGCCAGCGAGTTTCTCAAATAATTCACAGAGCAGATAAAATCTTCGCGAACTTTCCGGCGAAATGAGTTAACAGATAGTTGACAGATGATCCATTACCGCACAAGTGACGTATCTCGCGATAAAACGTTGCAAAATATTTGGCCAACCGAGCAGTTTCATTCACGATAAGCAGTCGCTTAATTAATCAATCTCTTTCACGGCATTTCAATCTCGTTCCTCTCCCTTTTCTCGTAAATTTAACCATTTTTCTTTCGCGGAGTAAAGATAATCGCCACTTTGGATGCCTAGCAGTGCTCTTCGTCGTGATATTCTACACCAAACTATACCAGAAGTGCACACAGTGTGCATCGGGGATCGAAAGGGGAACGTGAACAGCGAGCAAACGTATCCCTCGCGATCATCCAAGAATGCACTTGCAACCTTTTAACATCGACGCGTCCGCCTCGCGTTTTTCTCTAACAATTAATCACGAAAGAACTTTTCCGTTGCGCAACCGCCTGCCTAGTTCCTTGCTCCGTAACAGCCGAAGGCATTTCTCACGAAGTTTAGACTCACGAAGTTCGAACACATTTTCTTTACGTAATTCTACCGCAATTTCCATACAAACAGCACGGACGGCGATTACCATAATTCTTCGGCGCTTTTGAAACAGGATGCGAACGTAAACAACCACGTAGGAGATTCTTTTCCGATACGATGTTACAGAAAACTCGCGTTTAAAATACATTCACGCAGGCAGGAAAATAGAGACACGGGAAAAAGTATTAGGAAATCGGCGATTTCAGAGATTCCGTTAAACAGGGAACTGGTTATTGCTGGAATCTTTCTTCCAGTCACGGACAACGAAGTGCACGCGTTCCAACAAGGTCGAAGCAACCGTAAGAAGTTCGTACGACCGATTGTGACGCGAATCATGCTCCGCGACAGTGAATTATTAACGATCCGCTTCGAAGCCGGACGATCGTCATGAATGTTTGGAGTGCATGTTTAATCGGCGATCCCACGTGTGCGTTCTTTTAAAATCCTCTTCTGAACAGTCTCCTCGTATCGTGTACGGAATCGACGATCTCGCTTGAAGATGGAAATTCCGTGTGGGAATATAAGGTTGCTTCTTGCATCTATTTATACCGTGCGGTGGATAAACGAAAACAGAGATTGGCAAGTGAAATATGCAAATAAATTTACCGCTGACATTTTCCGCTATTTAGACATTTGGAAAGGTGAGGGACAGTTTGTTGATGGAGAGGCAGGGAGATCAAATGCGTCTTCTTTTCTCTCTGATGCGTTTCGAGAAGTTTGGCTATGGTGCAATGGGTAAATAATTTTTATAAGAGATCTATCTTTGTATTAAATATAGGTTAACCCTTATCGGTCGTAAGTCACCTCTCACGTGACCACGGTACTTTGGCGCTGCGGTCGCGCGTCACGTGGGAGGCGACGAGGCGGCCATCTTTGGCATATTTACCGAAACCAGCTAACCCTACGTATAAAAAGCTAGCGTTCGATAAGGGTTAAATATAGGTGACGTACAATTCGTGTACCTCGTGCAATAGAATTTCGAATTTCGTGCAATAATGTTATGAAAATTTGACAAATCTTTGCTCACAATCAGTCAGAGAAACTCACCTCTCCAGCAAAAGCTTGACCATTGACAGTGTGCTCGGATCCTCTAGAGTCGCTGCATCCCCAATGACAATGGTACTGTTCCAATTTGTAGACGTCATCCATCAAAGGACCTCCGCTCAAAACTGCGAAAGAATATTATGGCAATTTTATTCACGGTCATCGTTACTAAATTCCCTCTTATTTTAACCAAGGACAAAATGGACCCGATAAAAGGGACGAACTCGCGAGGAAAATATAGCAGGATCCTCTGCAGAAATTGCCACAGTCTATTTCTACCGATCCCAAATTTTTTCCTCCCGAACGATCTCCGATATTCTGAATTTTATTCCATCGTAATTCGTCCCTGTCTTTTCCAAGAATACACGATACTATTTTTCGGATACCTACGTCAACGCATGAAAGGACTCTAATTTTAGTCGAAATTCGGGCCGTGCGACGCGAAAACGCCAGAGGAGGATTTCCACAAAGGCACACCGGACGAACGCGGATCGTTTCATCGAGCTGAATTACAGGATACGCTTGATTAGCCGAATTACGCGGACGATACTCGGGTCGCGAGCGGATAGAAGCGGGCAGAGAAACCCCGCACGCGTCATAATGCAAAGGTTAAAGAAGATTTATGGCGGACGGGTCAGAGTCGACGAACGAAGCGATCGGTGAGCGTGCAAAGTGGATAAAGGATCACCTGCTCGAGTAACAACTTCGACTGCCGCCATATTTTACAGAAATTGAACATCTGTTCGAGTTATCGCGATATTACTCTCATTTGCAGATCATCTTTTTATTGCCGATTTTATATTGCGCTTTTTCCTACGGGCCGTTGGAATGATTGAGAAATGGTGTCAGGAAAATCTGTGGGGGGTCCCTCCTTTTCCACGTTCGTTGAAGTTAGTTTGTCGCAGCTAAATTGCTTTCAAATGTGGTGGCAGTGCTAGAAGGGACAAAAGGAAAAGCAAGGGATGCTAGTGAACTCATCAGTAAGGCTTTCTAGCAGGCCCTGCCTTAACCCTTTCGATACTACTGCCGCCTATTGGCAGCATTCACGAAACGTCACCGATGTCTGTCGCGGTCCGAATGCAAAGTTTATAGTGTCAGTCACACTCGAGATTTCTATGAATACCGCAAAACACGTTTTCGCGGCTTACGCTGCTGCACAGTGCAACCACTCTTGTGGAAAACTTCCTCGTACCACGAATGTATAACCGCGGCCAGCTCCTCCGTACCGAAAAGGTTAAACCGAGATACTATTGAAAGGTCGTGAAATTATATACAGGAGGAAATTATATATATTACATAGCGGAGGTTTTTCCGAGAACTTGCGAGAAAGTCCTCGATCCCCCTACAAGTCGCTGCAAATCTATTCGCGAAAGTCCGATATCGGAGATAGTTCAACGAAGACTCTATGCACTGCTATAGACAGCTGACCGAGGCTTACAACCAGAACGCGAATGCATAATGAATTATGAAAAACAGCGTTTATACTAGGCAAGAGGGTAAGCAGAGTCTCGAGCCATTCTCAGTTCCATCACGAACTTGCGATTACAAGCTTATCAAAATCATAGTGTATTACCTTAGAGGCCAATTTGACCCTCGTATCGTTAACTCCGTCGCAATATGCCGATTACAAACATATGAAAATTACAGCGTTAGATACGATCTATATCCTGGATACCCATCAGACCCCCGAGCTCGTTAACGGTAAAACGAAATGACGAGTTCCATTATTAAAAGCACACAAGTGCTTCTGACCAAATTAGCGGGGTAGGACTTCTATCGAGATGGAAACACGATTACTCCTACCTGTCCACTTTCATCCTACCACTTCAATTACACTCAACGGTATATGGTATAGTTAGAAACACATTACAGGTTGGTCGTTCTACTCTTAACGGAACCGAAGTACCCCATTTCCAAATTATCGTCAAACTAGGCTCGCATCATCCTTGTCCCCCCATGACAACTTGGTGATTAAGGGACCTAATGGCTCATCGAATAACGCGTTTATTTTCCACGAGTGGGCAAACAGACAGACAGGTGTGCTTGTCATCTAAGTCTACCTAAACCTATTCGTTGACGAAAATGGTACCACTTGTCGATGGTATCGGATCATCGATTCTTCTCAATTGCTCCATTTCCATCGTTTCGCTGTTGCCGCGTATGAGCACGCATAATGCGTCACGGCATAGCCGTCCTCGTTTCGAGCACACCTCGCGAAGGTAAAAGCCTCTTCGACCGACACGAAACTGCTGTCGAAGCGTTCGAGGAAAACGCGAATGGCCACAATCCGCTTTGCACTCGTTCGACGACTCCTCCATGCCACAGTCTGCGTATTCGTGTAACCGGTTTCAGACTACGCCAAATTCGGCTGTTACACAACTCCAGGACCCTCGATCGCGTACCCACTACCCGCCGGTTACCGATTTTCCGTCAGGGGTACCATTACTTTTCATCGCTATGCTCGAATCCTCGCAACGAGATTTAGCTGCCAATTATCGTTATGGTTATAGTCAAAAATTAAATACTGAAATAAACTCTGCATCCTAGCAATGTGGGGGCGATCCCTTCCTCTGTGTTTTGTCATTTGACAGCGCGTGGCTTTTGTCTCCCGTTTTCTCGAGACGTCTTTGACCTGCGTAGTTCTAAACAGACAGGTCAGTCTAACCATTCGCCTGTTTAATAAATGTCAATATAGTTTTTCCACCATTTCCATTGGCTACTGTTTCTTTGCTTTATAACATCTTGACAGCTATGTCAAGATTGCAGAGAAGTCGTATATCACATTATCGATTAATTATCTATTAATTATCTTCGTTCTTAGGGTATCATTAGTTCTTATCGTTTCTCTCTACTCTAGAACAAAGTAGAAAATTTTACAGGGAATTACCCGTACACAGCTATTGATCAGCAACCTTTGCGTTCCATGACACTCGATTGCTTCGATCATCCTCGAATCTCCGAAACGAAGTAGGCTAGCCGATCGTTGTATCAGTGTTGCGTAAGGAATCACTCGTGTACCAGTATCGATCAACGATCCTTGATCATAGGTTTCGATATTCTCGATCATCCATCCCGGAATCTCTACTCCGAAGAACAATTACCGATTTGCTGCGAGACCGTAACGCAATTTGGCTAAGGTAAACCGATCATGGTCGATAATCCAAGGTTCTCGAGCGCGATTATTTTCATCCTGCCTGAATATTCAAATGCGTACGATACCTTGTAGTTAGAGTACTTATCTCCCGACCACCTGACACTCATCTTGCGTAATCGAGCATTCACTCGAGGTACAGAAGACCACCTACCCTTAGCTCGACTTACATAAACACTAGCTACTTCAATTAACGTCGAGTGCAAAAATGGTAATCTACTCGATCCGTACTCGAGACACGATCCAAGGAGTGGTTACTCTTGCGAGGAAAAATTGCTTTTTCTTCATTGACATAATCCCGATATCGCCGATAAGAGCATCTAAGCGTCGTAAAGTATAGGATCAAGTTTTACAGCCGTGAGATTTACTTGGCCGATGACGAAACGCGAGCTTCTCTCCTGACGGGTTCCTGTTAGGCGAACCTGGCTCTCATAGTGTCGGAAATGGACGATTAGAGCCGCGTTTCGTGGCCCCTGCATGCAACCAATTAGCTCCTGGCCGCGGTTAGCGCTGGAATCCACTTCGAACCGCTTCGGATTAAGTCCGCCGCTCTTCATGGACTAATATTTGGGCCATCGCGATCAAAACAACGTCGTGCGGTTGCTTTGTCAACGCCTGGATCGATCCGACTTTCAATTAAGACCGTTGTGTTCCAAGTAAGTCCTTATTTTCGTTACAAAATTGCCAACTTTGAGTGTATCAACGCGGCCGAGTACGTACCAGATCTTTTAACATGTTAAGCGCCCTAGGGATCCCTAGGGGCCGGCACTAGAGACTTTCGGTTCACGCCTCGCCCGAGGGGCCCGCATGACGGCTAACTGTGGCGTGAACGGAACGGCTCGTAAAAACGATAACTATGGCGTTTAACGTGTTAACACTGTGACACCAAATTCAATACTAGAGGAACAATAACGCAAGATTTGAGATGATGGACGATATTTACATCCGAATTAGGAAATAAGTGGGGGTTGTCTATACATCGAAGGTTAAGAGAGGATGATGTAAGACAGGTGGAGGTAAGGATGCGCAATTTTGTGACAAGGATGAGTAAGGGATAAAAAGGACAAGTTAGCTGGTCTGGAGTTTATCTAATGTACATAGGTAAACACCTGTGGGGACGAAAGGAAAAAGAAGGGATGCCTTTTGTCCTGGACATGCTAGTGGACTCGTCAGTTAGGCCCTGCCTTAGGCAGGGATATTTAGGTGATATAGAAACTTCTATTTATGGGAGGTCGAGGATTCCTCGAACCTCCTACAAGTAGGAATCCATCTATTGGCGAGGGTGAGAATGATGGTCGTTACAGATGACCTATTGATGACTAAACAGTTATCTAACAATACACCGAGCTGGAGGAAAGCCTGGGTCTATTGGATTTTACGATACCAATACTCGCGGCGCGATAAAACCGAGTTCCACTGGAACCCTATTCAGGGAATGGACATTTCTCATTGTTAGAGTCCCTGAATGCTTTATCTTCGAGTTATCTGTCGTTATTTTTAATTAGTAAAGGAGATAAGAGTCTCTAGAAGCTTCTTTGCGTTCCACTCGAGAGATTCATCCTTCCTTTCTGAAGGAACTATTTCCTATTGTTGCATCGACGATTTTTTTTCAGAAAATATACGCTTTAACTCCCGTGATTGGAGCATTTATCACCCCAATTGCGATTGACATCGCTGTTAGAAAATATCACGCTTCGATAGAAGAAATCAGTAACCACAATAGAGAACATCGCGTGTTTCATGAATTTTCATTTTCAAGGCATCAGCTGTTTAACATTCCGAATGCCAATATATGTCATTCAGTTTCAGCATTGCGCAACATTTTTACATTTATCGCATTACGTATTAATTTCAATTCGATTAGATTGCATAACATCTCTGATGATACATTTTGTTATTCCGTTTTTATCCGTTCTTTTTTCCCGATACACGTATAAATCACGCGTATCGCAATCTGAGCTGCGAATAAATCGGAAATTTATGAAATTCTGGCACGCTGTATTTTTTGGTCGGGAGCAATTTGTAGGTTGCTGGAAATTCCGAAATGGAGGACGAAGGATCCAGTGAACTGGAAATGGTCCCTACCCGAATCTCCGAGCGCGTATTTGCATTCGCAGTCGATCTGCAATTCAATGCCGCGGATCGAAATCGTTCTCACGGCGTGTACCTTGGCTTTTCAGCTAACGAACGGCTTCTTAGTCTCGCATTTAAATGCACGAACCAACGGCACGGCACGGCACACCGCGTTTCTTAACCTCAAAAGCCCTCTTTCCC